CAGACTTTCGGAGGCTGTGAGCTTTGCGGGGCGTTTACTGTAGACTTCTGACTTATTCTCTTTCCTCCCTTTCGAGTAATTAATAGGCTATCGATTGGTTGGAATGTTCAACTCTCCGTTTCCTCAAATACAATAAAATAGTCTCATTACAATGTATTCATGCTTGGAAACAAGGGAACCATTAAACAGTCTCCCTTTCTGCTCCACTCCAAGGCGAAAGACACCCGTGTGAAGCAAAGAAAAATCCATCCTCCAAAAATCACTTACTCTGAGCGGTGCTTTTGGAAAGGATGAGGGATGTGAGTGAACACAGGCCTGGTGATTTGGGAGACAAGGGTGACTGGGGGTGGGGGTGGGGTGGGCACCACAAGGTTAGGACGCCTGGAGTTGGGCAGGAGGAGGGAGGCATGCAAACTCATCATCTCTGCCTGCTTGTCTCCCTCCGCTCAGTACGGCCCCCGCGGAGGTCCCAGTCCTGCACATTCTCCAACTCCAGCTCCATAAACAAGCAGCTCCTGTGTCTCCTGGCACCGTCCAGGGGTTCAAGAGGTGGAGAGAAGCCTATCGGGATTCACTGAGAGGTGGGGATATGTACCCTCAACTCCGAGATGCGCCCTACTAGGGGCCCTGGGAACAAACATATGGACTGAAACTGTAGGATGGCAGTGATGTGATACTTTCTGTTCTGCAGGGAACAGGGCGTGGGGTGCAGGAAAAGACCCCTAGGGCTGAGAAATGACAGTGAATGCAAGACTCATGCCAGTGGAATCTGGCCAGCAGCCGCATTCCCCCCCCCCCGCCCCCCTCCCAGATCAGGGAAGCTGGCAGAAAGGGGACTCCCCCCTCCCCCGCCCTGCAGCTGACCCCCGGGGTGAGAGTGGGGAGTTGCAGAGCAACACCAAGGCTCCGCTATGAATATGCAAGAGGGAATCCTGAGGGATGGGGACCTCAGGGGACAAAGGGTAGCAGGGCCACGGGAATGTGGGGCTGACCCCAGGCTGGGTCAGGGCCTGACTGTCCAACTCCCAACAATGTGCTTTGTTACCTTTTCAGAGATGTGCTCGCCTTGGACCTCTCCAAGGCCAAAAAGACTGAAAGGAATAAATTCCCCGGCAGCACTAGGGTAGCACCACTGCTGGTGCCGTCAGAGGCAGGTGCCGGGAGGGTGACAGGGCCACTGGGAGATGACTGTGTGAGCTGGTCAGCTCAGGTCTGGGCTGACCCAGGGCCTCGATGGGGGGAGGAGGGAGAGGATGGGGATTGAAGTGTGGGGGGGGGGTAGGGGGGTTTCCTTCTCAGACATCTTGGGTCCAGGTTATTTGTCAGGAGTGCCCCGTTTACTTTCAACACTTGCAGCCCTGGCTTGGAGCTCAATTCTCTCTGTGGTAGACTTCAGAAGTGCAGGGGGGCAGTGTGAGGGGCTGATACTAGGGGTGCTACTGATCTCCCCTCCAACAGCCTGTCCTCCCGCCAGGGTTCTACCCCACTCCTTCCCAGCCCAAGCAGTTTGCCAGAGCCCCTCGGGATAAAGGGGTTGGGGCAGGGAGGGTGGAGGGCTGGTGGATCAGACAACTAGAAGCCCACCTCTCATGTCCCTGGGTTCCCATGAACCCCCAATCCACAATGGTTGGCAATGAGGGCAGGAGGAAAGGGAGCCTGGGGGACCGAGTCAGCCCACAGACTGTTTTGTGGCTAACACAGTTTCCAAAGCTTTGGGAACTGTGTCAGGTGGGACCAGCTACTTGGGCATCTGGGGTCCCACAGCCATGCTGTTGCCCTGTCTCAGGGGCAGGAGGACCCCAACTGGCTGACGCCAGTTTGCTCGAGGCCCCGGAGATGATGTGATTGGGGTCTCCCAGCACTGTGGACTCCCCATGGCCCAGGCTTGGAGAACTCCCACATGCTGTTCTCCTAGGACCTGGGTCTGTCCTGTAAGGGAAAGGGAAGGACAAAGGAAAGAGGAGAGGTGGCTCGGGGGCCCCCGGGTGTCAGAGCCCGCCTCGGAGCCTCCAGCACAGTGGGGAAGAAGTCTGGGAGAAGATTCAGAAGTGTTGGGGGTTAATATGAGCACAAACTGCAGGTTTCGGGGCTGGGAGGAATTAAGTGAAACCATCAAAGCAACCCCGGGTTCCTGACCTGTAACTAGGGGATGGGATGGGAGCTCTAGGGGGGTCTCTCTAAGCCCTCCCCTTTCATGACCAGAGCATGGTCAGGGGGTGGGGACAGGGACTTGAGACTTAACCTCACCTCTACCTTGTCACAAGAGTCCAAACCTCTATTTCTCCATCTGTAAAATGGGCACGTGAATGCCAAGCACCACACATGCATCATGGGCACAGGTATGCCAAGCATCACACAGGCATCAGGTGGGTAGGTGCCCACCCTAGCTCAGGTGCCTAGGGGAAAGAATACTGGTTTTGAGAGGCCAAAAATTCTTCTAGGTTGGAGTTAGACTCCTGGTAGGGAACTTTTTTTTCCTTTTCCGTAAAATCCACAACATTCTTTAAAACAAAATAATCAGAGCTGGAACTTAGGGCTGAAGGTGCATGGAGGACTGCCCAGGGCCGTCTCCGCCTCCGTGAGGGAAAGCCCTGGTCTGATCCATCTTTCCCATCTCTCTGAGCCCCAGCCCTGTTCTCTGCTGAGCACTGGGGAGAGCAGGGGGAGTGTGAGAAGCCGAGGTGCCTCGTGTGCACTTGTGCTTGTGTGTGCGGTAGCCCAGGGATTGTTCTCATAAATCCAAATGCAAAATCTGAGACCTCTCAGGGCCTCAGCGTGTGTGGGGGGTGGGGAGAGGGGAGAGGGGGCTCAGCCTGGGGCAGGAGGAGACAGTGAGAGAAGAGCAGGCCCGCAGGGGCCCTGTGAGAAGGCTGACCTGCTCCCAGTAAAGCAGGACCCAGAACTGTGGGAGCACGAGGCAGGGCTGCTGCGATCCCAGGCCGCCCCTGCATCCCGCAGGAGGGAGTGAGGGGGTGGGAGGTGCAGATAACACACCTGCAGCCCGGCCTGGCAGTTGAGGACTGGGGTATCTCTTTCAGGGTCCACACCTGGGCTCTGCCTCCAGCAACCTCCCTTCTTTGTGCACCTGGTTGCTGGGGAGACGGGGGGGGGGGGGGGGCGGGAGCCAAGGGCCAAGGAGGGGGGTGCTGAGTCTGTTGTCAGCTTGCTGGCTTTTCCTCAGGCCTGGGTGAGGGCGCCTCTCCCTGCGCAATCCTCTGGCCTGGGCAGCAGGCCCCAGAGCCCTCTCCCACCTCTCCCTCCTAGGAATGGGTCCTCAGGGCGCCCCAGACCTTATGTCTGCCAGCCATTATGGGGGTGAGGGGGTGGGAGGTGGGTGCTTGCTGGGCCTATTTCCTCTGTTGCCTGCCTTCAGGGGTTTGGGCGGGGGGGGAATGCTTGTTGGTGGCCAGAGGAGGTCCATTGGGTCCCCTGTCTGCATGGCAGGTCCTGGGCTCCCCCATGCAGTGCCTCAGTTTCCCCAGAGGGAAACTCCAGGTGTTCCCTCTCCAGGCTGATCTCCACTCCTCTGGGTGTTCTCATTTCCCATTTGGCCTACATATAAGCAAGACTCAGGTGCCCACGTGTCTGGGCTTGTTCAGCAATCAGGGGCCTTCCTGAGACACTCCCCCTACCCCACCGCAGTTCCCTAGGAGAGGAGGAGGAAGGGCAGGAGAGAGCTGTTGGCAGTGGGAAGAGACTCCACGGGGCGTCTGAGGCTTAGCAGAGCACAGTGTCTGGGGGTCCCTCAGCAAGGCAGAGGGGTGGCCCAGAAAAGACCACAGAAGCCCGATACCCCTGGAGGCTCTCTCTGTCTCTCTCTCTCTGCCTTCCCAGTGACCAACGGGCAGGTGTGGAAAGCTAATCAGCTGCAGTTCAGTGGCTGTGGGGATGGGCCCTCTGCCTGCTGGGCTGAGTCAGCAAGAGCCTATGGAAAGAGCCAGGCCCCAGGGACCCCGCATTCCAGTCACCGGCTCCTCACTGGCCCCCTCCCCGCCTCTCCCTAGGCCCTCTCCTGCACCCAGACCCCCCCAGGGGACTCTGTGATCACTGCAGCCCACAGGGAGCTCTTTGAGCGCTGTGGTCCTGGCCCCCAGGTGGCTGCCACAGTGGAGGGCGCACAGCTGCCCCCAGCTCAGTGCCTGGGCTCCCAGCTGCCCACTGGGCCCTGTGCAGAGGGCAGGGCCTACTTCTGGAGCGCTGAGTGGCAGCAGAGGTGTTCGCAGGCCCCAGAGCAGGGTCAGTCCTTTGTGGTGACTTCTGTCTGAGTGACAGGGATGGACCGGTCCGGAACCCATTTGCTGGCATCCTTAGAGGCTGTGAAAATGTCCATGGGGGCGTCCACTGTGATTTGAGCCAGGTTTGCTTCAGGAGACATCTCCTGCTCGGCTTGATAGCTCCAGGGGTCGGGACAGCTTCCGGAACCATGCTCGGACCCGAGTCCCCACCTATGGGTGCTGAGTCCGCAAGTGCCAGCAACACCTCAGGTGACCGCTGAGACATCACCTCGAAAGTTCTCTTTGAGTCCTTAGAGAGGGGGACGGGGACGAGCTGTTGGCAGGGCACTGGGCGTGGGGAGATGGAGGCTGGGGGCAAGGGCTCAAAGTGTCTCCCCAGATGTGTTTCTCTTGGGGGGGGGGCGTCTTCAGAGGGGAGAATGGGGCTTGGCGAAAAGCCAGCCCCATGAGGCTCCTTTAAGACATCAAAGAAGTGGCAGTGAGTTGAGGGCTGCACCCCAGTGAGTGGGGCTCAGGACAGCTCCCAGGTCAGCTGCTGGGGTGGGCCCCTCCCCCAGGGCAAAGGCTGGCTCTGGGTGCAGGTCTGAGATATCTGGGACACATCAGGAGAGCAGGATGCATCATCACGGGTGGCTGGTCTGCTCCGTGGGCCCCTCGGCCCACAAGGGCAAGATGCTATTTACACAGGTGGATGTGGCCAAAGCAAGTCTTCCTCCCAGGGTGGCGACGTAGGAGCAGGGGACCCTGGGGGTACAAGGGTGGGGGGGCAAGCTGGGCTGGAGCTGCGGGTGGGTGTCTGCACAAGAATCCAGAGGTCTGCGGAGCCCCCCGTGGCTGCTGGGAGAAACCCCTGGACAGACTCTTGGAAACAGACACGTGTCTGGAAGTCCAACAGCCTGGCCAGGGACCCCCGGAGTTCCTGCAGGAAAGGGTGGGGAAGGAGCTTCAAGACGAGGTGGGGGGTTGGTGCTGGGGGACGGTCTCGTTGTGCCCCTTTGGCTGTCTTCCGAGGGTCCGAGAGCGACCACCCTCAGGGATATATGTGGGAGCACAGGGCACCCGCCGGTGGGAGGGTCAGTGGCGGTCATAGGCGGTGGCAGCTGCAGGCGGGGCGGCCCCCCGGGCGGCGCTGTAATAGTACGGAGAGCCTGCAGAGACATAAAGGGAGTGAGGAGGGGATGGGGGGTCACCCAGAGTCCCCCCGACCTCTGCCACTTCTTTTCCGCACCCTGTCCAGGCCGCTGTCCCCTCTCAGCCTGGTCTCACCCCTAGACTGTGGGTCGGCTCAGGGTTTCTGCCTGCTCCCCCAAGAGCTCAAGGCCTCCCGCCACTTAGAGCTGCTAGGGTATAAGGTCTGGAGCCCGGGGGTTGGAGTGTGTGTGTGTGTGGGGGGGGGGGGGGTTCTCAATCCATAATAACGTATGCTGGCACCCAGCCTCACCCACTTCCTCTGGGCCCCTGAACAACTACAGAGCCTGCCAGGGCTGAAGGCCTGATGCAGGGACCACGTGGCTCCCGTGGCTGAAACAGCCACCCTGGCTGGCATGCAGAGCATGGGGCGGCCAACCCCTGGACTAGGGCACATCACAGATGCACTGGCCCTGTTCTGCTCTCTGGACCTTCCTCCTTGCCTGCACCCCCTGCCCCCAACCCAGACACACACACACACACACACACACACACACACACATTACACCACTCCTGCACCCAATTTTTAGTGCCTCTGAGCCTGTCCTCCTGTGCTCACATGGCCACGTCCTTCCTACACCTGGCATTACTAAGAGCTGCAGCAGAGGGTGCCTCCCAGGCCCTCACTCTGCCGTCACATTCTGTTCGTGTTCTTGTTCTGTTCATGTTCTTTTCTGTTCATGTTTTGTTCATGTTCTGTTCACATTCATGTTCTGGGGCCTTCATGGCTCCTTCATGTTTCTTCATGGTCCTTCATGTTCTGTTCATGTTCTGTTCATGTTCATGTTCTGTTCTGTTCATGTTCTGTTCATGTTCATGTTATGTTCTGTTCATGTTCTGTTCATGTTCTGTTCATGCTCGGTTCTGTTCCTGTTCTGTTCATATTCATGTTCATGTTCTGGGGCCTTCATGGCTCCTTGCCTTTCTCCAGAAACCCCCTACTGGAGTCAGGTTCTCTAGCGCTGTCCGTTCGCCTCAGTGTCTATCCCCAGTCCTTGGTCTGGAGTCCAACACAAAGCACCTACTCAGCTGGGTTTGTCTGTTGAGGACCTGACCTGCAGCTCAGCATGACCAGCACCGCCTGCCCCGGCCTACGCCATGCACACACCCCACATCAGGCCCTGTGGGGTGCCAGGCAGGACCAGGGCATGCAAACATCAGCCTCTGGAGCAGGCCTGTGTTTCCTGGGCAGCCGGGCGTCCTGGAGGAAGTATGTCCGGGTAGGCTCAAAGGGTGGGAAGATCTGCAAGTGGGCTGAGTGGTGTGTAAGGATGCAGGGGGCAAGAATTGGGTGCGGGCTGCTTCCGGCAGCCCCCAGCCAGAGCCAGCTACTGCCCTTGCGACCTGCTTTGACCTCACGCTCTGGATGAGGCCGCCAGGAACCTTGTTGAGGGTTCCAACTCCTCCCCAGAGATGAAGAGGTGGGTTGGGGCTGGGGGTGGGGGGTGGGGATTACAATTCAGGGAGACCAACAGATTCTCAGAATGAGAGGGACCAGGCTGGCCCTCTTCCTGAGGAAACAGGCTCAGGGAGCCGCCGGCAGCAAGCGCCCAAAGCTCCAAAGCCCCAGGTCCTGGGCTAGACTCTGGTGTCCAAGTCCCATCCCCACGGTCCCTCTACCGCAGCAGGGTTCTGCAACCTGAACACGGGGGCAGGTGCTTCTCTAAGGGATGGCAGTGGGGGTCCAGCCAGGGCAAGGTACTGGCACCTCTCCCAGACACATCACCAGGCACTCAGGCTGGAGACAGCCAGTCAGGCTCACCCTCTGCCTGGCTGAGCGACTTTCATGGCCCCAAGCCTCGGTTTTTCATCTGTCAAAGGGAGTCACAGTGGTGCCGGGGAAGGGCCCCTGAGCCCGGCCTGGGACTGAGCTGTGGAAATGGACACTCTTCAAAGCCCATCACAGCCTGGAGCTCTGAGGGTTTCCACAGAAATTCCATCAGGTGGGTACTAGCATTGTCCCCAGGTGGACAAGGACAACGAGGCAGACAAAGGAGAGGAACCAAGGCCACTCAGCTCCGACGTAAAGCTTTCGTCCCTCCACACCCAGCCCTGACTAGGGGCACACTAGTCCCACCCCCAACACCCTGCATGCCCTGTTCCCTCCAAAGGCTCAGATGGTAATAACATGAGGACGGGGCCTTGCTGGGCCTTCCGGTCAGTGTGGATACCAGCCCCACACCCATACCTATCAGGGGGGTTTCCTGCAGCCCCTTCGTACCCTCTCCAGCTGGGGTCCTGACTCAGAGACACCTGTCCCCTCCCCTATCCTCTTGTCTGTGGGACCATCATCCCCAATGCATGCCTCAGTGCTGCCTCTGACCTGCAGATGGGCCTGGGAGAAAGGAACACATGTGCTTCTGTGTATGTGTGTATAAGCATGTGTGAACACATGTACATGTATTTGCAGGGATGTACACACATATGGATATACACGTTTGTGTGTGTGCTAGTGTCTATATATCTACAGGTGGATATATCATGTGCATGCATGCATATGTACATGTATGTGTAAGTATGTGTGCAGGTATATGTAAGTACATGTGCACTTATATGTGCAGGCATGGGTAAGTATGTGTATGCATGTGTGTACACGCATGTGTGTGCATGTATATATGCAGGTATGTGTAAGTGTGTGTGTGTGCATGTGCATGCATGTGCATTTGTATTGTGCTTATGCACATTTTTGCATGTGTATGTTTTGTGAGAGAGGGGATATCTCCTGAACCTGGGCACTTACAGAAGAAAGAAAACCACTGCGGCTGTCCCCACACATGGCCTTGATCGGGGTAGAAGGAGAGAGCCCCAGGAGGATTTTGCCAGGTGTCCTCATGATCAGCAAGTTCTCATTTAGAGGAAAGGGCTCCGCTTCCCTCACCCCCACCCATACAGTCTATCCCTCCCTCTCCATATCACCCAAAAGGCACTGAGCACCTTTGAGCATAGACACACTTGCCAGGGGGCCCCCGTCAGTGGCAATGTGAGCTCCCTGGACAGAACCCACATCTCCCTCACCAGGCATGCAGTCTGCACCCTATGGGGACCCACCTGGAATCAGCCTGCGCAGCATAAACCCCCAGTTCCCTTCTTCCCCAGGCTCCAAGCTGCCCCACCCTCATCAGATGCAAGTCTAGGGTTCAAGCTCCCACATATACAGGCCACTCCACTCCCTCTCCAGCCTTTGCCTGAGCACCTCCAATGTCTCTGCTGCTTGAAAGCCCCAAAAAATGATGCTCAAGAACACATGGCAAAATGAGACAAAGGGACCCCTCTGGGTTTATGTCACCCAAGCGTTGAACGTAGTTCCCAGGACCCCTCAGGTAGTGCAGTTATCATGGGCATCTCCATGAATGCAGAGATCAGTGCACATCACAAGGACATGCCCGCCCAAATACACACACACACATACACACACACACACACATACACATACACACACACACACATACACACACACACCTCTATAGCTTCCTCAGGGGCACATCCCCTGTGAGGCTGGCTGAGCTCAGGGCTCTGTTTGAGGCAGATTTGGGATGGGCTCGCAGGCTGCCCCTGCCCCTGCTAAAAGCCTCCCTCTGTACCACCCCCCCATCCTGCTCCATGGAGATCACAGATCACAGCCCAGGTAGCCCCTGGGATAGACAGGCTGGATCAACTCGGTGTCCAGAGGTCTTGGTTTGAGGCAAAGCACGAGGTGCCCAGAGCCTGAGTTCAATACTTAAGAAACAAGGTTCATGGAAAAGCCAAGTCAGAGAATCAGCTCCTCTGGGAGGCGCCGGGCAGCAGAGACAGGTGTCTGAGCCTGAATACCTTGCAGCGCAGAGAGCATCTCCCTCACTGTTGCGGACCCCCTGCTTTGGCAAGCTCTGCTCAGTGCAGGGGTGAGCACTCGGGGCTGCTCAGGGCCTGTGCACATGTCTGTCTCTCCCTACCATGAGGCAGGGAAGGGGCCGAGGCTCCTAAGTGCATGCCTGGCAGCTTGAGTCTAAAGACACCATGTTCCTGCTTTGCACACTCTGACTTGAGAGTCCTCAGTCCTAAAATACTTGAGGGTCTGGGACTGAGCCAGTTCTCAAAAGGGCAGGCCTTAGGTCAGCAGGATGGACGGGCTGACACGTGGGGTTCTCATTGGCCCTTTCATGTCTGGTCTTCAACTGAGTGCAGGGGAGGGGTGGGGACATATCAAGGTGGCCAGCAAGCTCACTGCATGGTTCGACCTTAGGTAATGAGATCTGGGGGTCCCCCTACTGCCCTCACCCCACCCTACCTCACCCCGAGTCTGCTTCATGCCCCAGAACCTGCATCCCAGCTGGAATTCACCAGCAGGGTCCATGGAAAGTCATTTCTAGGAAGCAAAAGGTTCTTTCTGACTTTTAATTTATTTATATTTCTCATTGCCAGGGATTGGGCTCGGGCCATGCGGGCTACCACTGAGCCATACCCCAGCATCTTCTCAACCTCCTGAAGGCTGAGTGGACCCTGCTTGGTCCGGGGGAGCCTGAGCCAGGCCCAACGATCTCGATGATGTTCACAGGCCAGGCAGGCGCCAGCCAGAGGGCAAATCTGCCATGCTGAGACCAGGTGAGAATTTGGACATGAGATGAGTGGGGACAGCCTGCCCCCATGGCACAGAGCACCTGTTCCCAGCAGACCTGGTCTGGAGATGTCTATGCAGACATCACCAATCGCTCCCTGGGCTACCGAGCCCTTTTCCAGATGGATAGTCACTACCAATCACTCTGAGGGGCCACCTTGCTGCCTCTTATTTTGAGTTTCTCACCTGAATATGGATTCGTTCTTTGAAAAAAATATAAGTTTACTCTTGGGTAAGCAATTTTCCTGCCTCCTTATTTCTCCCATCATGTCCTTCTACACCAACAAGTCCAGGCAAGGTGCGGGGGGCGGGGGGGAGGATGAGGGTAGGTGCCAGCCCCATCAGAAGCCCCACATGGACACTGCCTTCCCTGCCTCACGTTGTCAAAGTATCCAGGACCAGGGGAACCCAACGGCCAATACTCACCGAGCAGCCCCGGGTTGGGGAACCTCCAGGAGTCGTTGTAGGAGGGATACTGGGGGTGGCTGTAGGGGCTCCCGGAAAATTCACTCCCTGCATGGGGCAGGTGGAGAGAGAAACAGGAACCAAATGTCACATAGGGCTCAGAAAAACGCCATAGATACCCACTTCCGGTGACCAGCAAAGTCCAGGCCGGGTAGCACCTTTTTTATTTTGTTTTTAATTGAATCACCATTAGATACACAGTTACAAAGTTGTTCACAATTGGGTTTCAGTCATACAGTGTTCCAACATAGGTTATTTCACCAGTGTGAAGTGGACATTTCCCACCACCAATGTCCCCAATTTCCATTATGCCATGGCCCTACCTCCCAGTCCCCACCCTGCCTCTATAACAAACACTTTTCTTCTCTCTCTCTCTCTCTCTCTCTCTCTCTCTCTCTCTCTCTCTCTCTCTCTCTCTGTCTCACTCTTCCTTTGGGCATTATGGTTCGCAATACAGGTACTAAAAGGCTATCATACATATCCCTTTACCTACTTTCAGCACTCAGTTCTTGTCCTGAGTGATCATTTCCAGCTACCATTGGGTGATACCCTAATTAGGTGGATACACTCACTGATCTGGCTTTGTGCGCCATCAAACCTCTCAGTGGGAATAAAATGCCAGCCTCTCACCCGAGTTCCATAAAACAGTCACATGCCAGTTGCCCCACTGGCCCATCCTTCAACAGAGAGCATGGAAGAATGTTCCCTAAGCACCTGGAACCTCAGAGGGCTGGGCACTTTGCCCTGGCCCGGGCAACCTCGGGAACCCCAGGTGGCTGGCTTTGGTCCCCATTCCCACTGTTTCCTGGGTGACTGAGAACTGACACCGCAAAGGTGAGCTCAGCACTGATGTGGCCCCTGTAGTGGCTGCTCTGGGGATTGAGGTAACAGTGCAGAGATGCTCTGCTGAAATGCAGGGACAAGCCAAAGGCTCAGAGTGGAGGCAAAAGAGACCTTCTGGGCCCAGGGGGAGTGTAGTGGGTGGGCATGTAGCTATTCTGTGCAAGGGCCCACAGCCTCACCCCTGCCCCACGCTCCCATGCTCAGTTCACGATCAGGTGGTGGGAAGGGGCCCAGTGATCCTCTGCTTAAACCCCAAGGCCCTGCTTGTGGCTGCCCCCTATCCTGTGCAACAGCCTTTCAATCCACTTACAGAACATGTGAGCTGTGTCCCTCCCTGCAGAGGAGCCAGGAGGGACACAGCCCCCCCCCGGGGGGGGAGACCACCCTGGCCCCCCAGCATGTTTCCATGGCTTCTGCTCAAGGAGGACAAAGGACCGAAGAGCAAGAGCTCCCCCACCTCCCCCACCGCCTCCTGGCCTGCAGCGTCTGGCTCTGATGGGGATCTCGGGGCTGGTCAGGTGTTGCTGGAACAACAAAGCAGGCCTGAGGGGGCCAGTGGCTCCCGTCTCCGAGCCCCCCACCCCGCCAGCTTCCTCCCCGCTCCCACAGGTAACACCAGAGCGTGTGCACGCGTTCCCACGCACACCCGCACGCACACACACAGGAGCGTCCCTCCCTGGGCCTCTCTGGGGGCCACTCCCAACCTGACAGGCTGAGCCTCCAATTCTCTGTTTTTTATGCCTCAGTGGTCAGGGTGTCAGGTTACCGCGTACGAGGGAGAGCCTGGTGACAGTGCTGGGCGCAGCTGCCCAGACTCGAATATCTATCAGCTTCGCAGAGCCGCCTCCTCCTCTGCTCCCCTTCCTCCTCTGAATCTCCCTCCTCCTGCTCCTCCCTCTCTTCCTCCTCCTTGTCTTCCTCCTCCTCTTCTTTCTCCTCCTATTCCTCCTGCTCCTCTACTCTTTTTCGTGCTCCTTCTCCTCTTCCAATAATCCTCCTCCTCTTCCTCCTCTCCCTCTCTTCCTCCGCCTCCTCCTCCTCTTCCTCCTGCTCCTCTTGGGGGAGCACAAAGACACAGCCTCCCTCTGGGCCCTGAGCTCCCCCAGAGCTGCCCCATCAGACTCACTTTCTGCCCCCGCTGGGACAGCCCCAGGTCATCAGGCACTTCTGGCAAAGGTCTCTCTACACCTGTCACCCAACTCTGAGGCGTGTCAAGAAGCCCTTGATTCCAGCCTTGGAGAGTAAGTCCCATGGGGCAATGTCAGGAGAGAGCCCTGGTCCCCCCTTCCTGTTTTGGGGTCCTTCCATGGGCCACTTGCGCCCTTGGAGCCTTATTTTCTCCTCCGTATAGGAGGGCTGAGCCTTCTAAGCACAGAGTCACTACAGAGATGAAACGAACCAATGAGCTGAGGCCAAAGAGGTGTGTGTGTGGGGGGGGGGGGGAGGTTGATTGGAGGGTGGGGAACTGGGGACAATGGTGGTGGGAAATGTACACTGGTGAAAGGACAGATGATGGAACATGATAGAACTGAAATCAAATCAACTCTATAACTGTATATCTCACTTTGATTCAATTAAAAAAATAGTATGAGACTAACACCCAAGGTCAGTAGAAACAAGGACCAGGAGGATTGGTACATGGTTGGAAGCCTGCCTCAAGTGCTGGAGAGAGAAAGTTGGGATGGAGAAGGGACCACTATGACAATGATGGCTGGAAAGAATCACTGTGGATGGGAGGTGTGGGCTGAAAGCGGGTAAAGGACCAAACATGATGGCTTCTCTGTATCTGTATTGCAAACCATAATGTGTGAAAGGGGAGAAAGAAAGGTGGGGGAGGTGGAGAAATGTGCCATAGAGGCAGGTTAGGGGAAGGGAGAGGCATATAGGGGATATTGATGTGGGAAATGTACACTGAGGGATGGGTGTTGGAACGCTGTATGACTGAAACCTCATCCTGAAAACTTTGTGATTCAATAAAAACAAAAAGAAAAAAAAAGAGATTATTGGAAACAGAGTCAGCAGAGCTTGGCAACCAGCTCAATGTGGAGTCGAAAAGGTGGGGGCCCGGGTGGGGTGCGGCAGTAGGAAGAGTTGAGAATAATTCCCATTTGTTAAACTTGGGCAGTTTGAGAGTGAAATGTTCCTTCCCTTCAACAAGAGAAGAATTGAGTAGAACTAGGAGAGATGGCCCATTGTTTTAGATATTAACTGGCTTGGGTGCTCATGGGATTTCCTGGTAGACATCCTAAAGAGGCAGTTGGTTCTCAGCTGCGGAAACTGTGGGAGTAAATGGCATTATCCATAGAGGATTATTTCCAGCAGAGAGACTCAGACTTGGCTGTACTTTGGAATCATGGTGGCAGACAGGTGAAGGTGGGTGGAGGGCAGGAGGGAAACTGGGGATATTGGTGGTGGGAAATGTATGCTGGTGAAGGGATGGGTTCTGGCATATTGTCTGACTGAAACCTAATCATGAAAGCTTTGTACTGTATCTCATGATAATTCAATAAAAACATTTTTTTAAAAGAGCTGAGGCCCCGCCTTCTCCAGATGGAACCCTGGTGATCATGAGCTCCTATAAGCATAACTCTGGCATATGGGTACCAGGACATTTTTTCCGAACTGCAATGGGGCCGCCCCAGCTCCCAGGCAACCTCTGATTCAGGAAGTCATGCCCACAACTCACCCCCCAGCGCCATCTTACAGCACACAGCAACAAAGAAGAAAAGTGGCTTGAGGGCCCCACAGCTCCCGGAGGGCGTGGGGGATATCAGCACCATGCCATCTTTTTCTGAGTCTGGAGGCTCCAACTCATGGCTTCCCTCCTAGGATCCCCCCAACCACCTTCTCCTCCTTGAACCACATGACAACCATTTAGAACAGGGAGTCCAGGACTGTCAAGAAGAGGCCTGTGGAAAGCAGAGAGGGCATTTCAGGGGTCCCGGCAACCATACACCCCATGGACAGAGTTCTGATATGCAGAAGGAGACAGGCTATTCCCACAGTGGTAAAAGTCTGGGTGGCACAGGAATGCCCTACAGAACTGGTTCTCCCAGAGGCCCTCAGAGAGCTGGAGGCCTGAGCCTCCAATCAGGTGTCCAGGCCACAGGCTAGCTACAGGAGCCTGGAGAAAGAGCTGCATCCCCCATAGATGCCAGGCAAAGAAGTATGGCCTAATAGTCCAGGGGTGGGAAATGAAGGTTTCCACGTCCAACTCATTGTGGGGGTTCCAGGGGTGCAGCAGGCCCAAGGCAGAGGTCACCTTCTCTCAACAGGAGCACCCAGGCCCCTTTCCATCAAAAACACCAGCAGCTCCTGGAGAGAGCACAGCAGACAGAGTACTCTATCCCTATCACCAAACACAGTCCCCCGAGCCTTGCCCAGAGTGATCCCTGAGTGCAGAGCCAGGAGTTAAGCCCTGAGCATACATGTGGCCACACAAACACAAAGGGAGCAGAGGTCCCCCAAAGGAATGTTATAGCTTTCTTGGTCCCGAGTTCTCGAATGAGTGAAAGGAAGCCCCTTCAGGAGAAGAGAGAAGTAAAGTATTGGGCAGAGGAAAATAGGAGGTCTGGGGAATGGATCAAGTGGTGTGGCACATGGCTTGCAGTGGTAATTCAGGTTCAATCCCTGACCAATGTCAGTAGTGTTCCACCCCTAGAAAGAGAAAATTCGAGAAGCTGAATTGGGGAGCTTGTCGTTGAGGGGAAGGTGGGGGGAGAATGGGAGAAGTGTGTGTGTGTGTGTGTGTGTGTGTGTGTGTGTGTGTGTCTGGGTTGTCACTGTATGCCGTTCTGTTGGGGGTTGTAAACTGCACCCCCATCTCCCTATACCCAGGTAAGCCTGTCTCTCATCCTGGTGCAGAGGGCTTGATGGGGCCACGCTGGGGTGACTAGTGGGTTTAAGATGACAGACTGTGGTCCCAGAACAGCACAGAGGAAAGCCTGGGTGGAACTCCATGTGGGAACAGGCCAGAGAGCTCAGGGCTGCATGAATATCTCCATGAAGCAGAGGATGGGGCTTGAGTCCAGAAAATCTTGATTTCAGGGTGCTGTGGAATTCCTTGAGCTGGGGCAGGAGTGGGGGTGGGAGTGGGGCAGACTCTGGCAAGAGTGTGACCCAAAGTGGGGCACTAGCAAGAAAGTTCACAAGGCCCAACGAAGCCCGGTCACCAGCCCAGACTCTGGGTTCAGGGGGGCCAGGTT